GGAGCTAGCCAGCAGGCAGCCCCGACTGTGAACCCCTCTCATGCTCTAGCCAGCCCCATCAGCATCTACACATGGGTTGCGTTGCACTAAATAACACTGCTATAGGATAGTACTTGTGTTTACTAATCTACAATGAAGTTAATTAGTTTACTGCAGTCAAATACCAAAATGTGGAGATGCTGAGGCCTTACTGCAGAGCTAATTAGGCAACTCCGAAGTAAATGTCTCATGTAGATGTGCCCTGTCTTAACATAACATACAACTAAAATGCATACTTGACAAGTGCCCATATTGAATTTAGTTGCTAAAAGTTCTGACACAGAGCACATGTTCATAACCATACACCATCATCAGTATTTCAACTCCGCTAGACTTGTATAGGAAACAAGCACAAGAAAAAGCATCCTTTTACTCTCTATGTGAATTTGCAAAACCAATCTCGATTTGCATCTAGTTTTCTGCTTTCTCCTTATAAATTGGAAAAAATGTTTTCCTTTCTCCAAATCCTATGTTATATCAACGATAAATAAGCCAACAGAGTAAACATTCTCTTAAAGCCAGTTCCTACTCTTGAATATTTAATGATATGAACCTCCCTGATCTCTCTAAAAAGACACAGGCACTGTAAGCAGAGACAAATGTCTAACCTCATCAAATCAGTAGAGAGTTCTGGGATAGAAATGTGAATAGACATGTTTAAATGTACACAAACTGTCATCGCACAATATACTTTTGTTTGCAAGTTTTCTTAAAAGACAGCTAGTTTGCTGATAATTAGATTTTCCGTCAGAGATAGCACTTTGCAGTAGGGATTTCACTATAATCATTAACCATGTTATATCCCACTGTCTGAAATGGGAGAGAGGGGAGCATAGACCAAATTCTTTAGATATTTGTAAGCACAGCATGGTAACTCAAGAGAAATTATGAAGACAAAGACCTCTATCTTAAAATTGGCACTAGAATGCAAGGGACAGTGGGTCAGCTGCTGCAAACCAGAGTAGTTCCACCACTGACTTCACTGAAACGTACCCATTTTCCCTAGCTGGAAATCTATGTCAGTAGCAGACATACACCCACAGAGCCCTGTTGCCCAACCAGTGCCCCCTTACCCACATTGAATTGCACGTTCCTTTGTAACCCAGTTCCCAAGATACCAATGAATCCACTCAGGTAGCCTGGTGCTACTCACTGTCAGCCAGGGTGCCACAATGACACTCTTTAATATTAAACATTTAAATTAATTGAGGCATTGAAATGTATGGTTTACACAAGACTGACTAGTTTGCTCAAAGAGGCAAGCTCCATGTGCAGAAAGTGTGTTGTAACAGAAATAGCAGCTAGGAGGCCTGATGAAAAATTATATACCACAAGAGAAAGATGATTACAAGGGCATGAAACAATGATGTTTATATAGATAGTTATTTCCCTTATATTTAAATCTGAACTAGGAAATTCCAGTGAATTGCTCCAATCATGTCAGCATTAAATAGTATCTGGATATCAATACAAGACCGTAATTAAATGCTCTCCTACCAACCATAACTCATACAAGACTTTAAGAGAGAAATTAATTATATGGCCACAGGTTTGTGCAAGTGTTGTGGTGACACTGCTCTTTAGGTAGGCTTATAAATCCCCCTATTAATAAATGGGTTACTAATCAGTCATACTATGATACTTGAAAAAATAGGCAGTAAAACACTTAGTAAAGGGGATCAACCCTTTTCAGTATGTTCAACCAGAAACAGCAATCTAGTAACAACAATGCAGAAATTTGACCCTACTGGGATATGCAAGATATCAAATTATGGGGAAGTGCCGTCACACTAGAGGATAGGCTGGCAATTCACCCCAAGGGAGGACAAGGTCTAACAGTCACAAACTGCTGGAAGACTGTTTTAGACTGGACATAAGGAAAAATTTCTTTATCATCTGAGTCTCCAGAGTCTGGAATAGTGCCCTCCCCTCTTCCGCACCCCAAGAAGTGGTGCAAGCACCTACTCTAGAGACCTTTAAGAAACACTTGGATGCTTATCTTGGGCAGGGGGCTAGACCCAATGAACTCGCAAGGTCCCTTCCAGCCCTAATGTCTATGAAATCTATGTGATTACCCCAATGATGGCAAATAGAACACTTGGAGAAACTACCAGTCCCTATAATATCCCATTAACACAAACAGCATCTACTAGTGAATGATCTGTCTTATTAAAATAAATCCTATTAGCATGATGAATGTTTGCCATATTGCTCTCCCTAACCTCACACAACTTTGATGAATAATAAACTTAGATGACATCAGTGCTTGCAATGACACACTGCTTTTGCCTAATATCAACAGTTACTCTTCCTTACAGCTTTCCCACTTGGGGAAATTATTCTGGCATCAGGTAGTGTGTGGATTTAAAGTACAATACCTATTCCAGAAAAGTGCCCTCTGCAAACACTCTTGTTTTGGAGTGTCCACCCAGGGAACTATTCTGGGCCAGCCATGGTTGAATACTTTACTTTGCAATTGTTACGGCAGTAGATTTCCCTTGTGAAGACAACCCCTTACAACATGGAGAAATCATCTAAGAATATATGAATGATCTTCTATTCTGTTTTACTTCGCTGTCACCAACTCAGACTTTCTCACACAGAGAGATAGGTTTATTGGATGTTTTGGATTAAACCAAGGGTGTCTTTTTCTGGTTAAAGCACAAATCAATCCAAAAAAAAGGCTTTTTTCCCCCTTGAAGTGGCAGCTCCTGCTGCTGTGTAAAGGCACATTCTAATTTCTTAAAAAGCACGGAGTTTAAACAAATCCTTTGAATAGGAATTGCTCCAGATCTACACTGGTGAAAGTGAGAGAATGAGTACTACTCTGGGAGGGCTTAGGGGCTGCTAACAGAATTCAGTCTTTTAGTTCATGACTTGGTGCACTGTAGCACAGTTCAGTAGTGATGGTAAAGTGCAGTCATCCGATGGCTCCTCAGTGGTGTCATCATCTGAAGGTCTGGTTGGTACCTTGTTGATTGCCATCCACAGCATGAAACATAGGCACTGGCACTAGTTGTCAACTCCTGCCAACAGTCTTTGTACAGGACTGAAGAAGCAGAGGCAGGCCGAACTACCCTTCCTCCTTGAAAAGCAGTTCAACCCAGCAGAGAAGAGGGCATAAGGGCAGTTTAGTTGGCATTCCTCCCATCTACGCTGTAATGTAACAGGGCTTTTGATGTTCAGAGCTGAGATTCCATGGCATCTAGATACTCATGGGACTGTTGAAAATGGAGATAATCAGAGATTAGATGAGTCAGCTCCCAGTCCAGCAATGCACACTGCATTCTTTCCAAAATCATGTTTTATGCATGAGAAATGCTTTTGGCAACCCCAGAGCCAAACAGTACCACCTCCGCTTGGTAGGTACCAGCAGTGAGCATCCATTGGCCCTTCCTGCTTGAATGAGGTCTCATGCCATTAAGTTCAAGGAAGGTAAACTTAGAACAAATAAAAGGAAACCTTCACAGTGGCACTCAGTCTGTCCCTGCAGTTTACTGCTGTGGGAAGCTGTGAGGATGAGGACTGTGACTGGGTGTCTTTAAAAGGCTGGAAAATTGTATGACCCCCCCAATAACATTTAAAATAATGTGAGCTAAAAAAAATAAATAAAAGTTCATTCACTCACAGGCTTCCAGGCTTCCTAGCGGGCAAGAAGGGCTTGGTTCTGCATTGCCCCTGCACGCCAATGCCCACTGTACAGGCAAGGTCCCACTAGGAGTGGCAGGAGAATACACAGGCCAGATACAGAATTCCTGAAGGACTCGTCCTTACTGGGACAAGGCAACCCCGGGGACAGGGGCTTCTCTGTCTATGCACAGGGGCTGGCCAGCAGCCCGCCTTAAATGCTGGAGGCTGCACCTGAGAGAAAAACAGTGGGACACCCCCCTTGCTCATATGCCTCTTGCTCTCCCTTTCAGCACCCACTCAGGCCATGTGTGACATATGGCACTGGGTGACACAACCCTAGGGCCCAACCCAGTCAGCGGCAGATCCTAGGTCCTGATGAGGGGCCTGAAGTGCAGGGCGAAGGCTGCTCGGCACCAGCTCCCCATGCCAGAGCCCTGTCCCTACGGGCACTGGGGGCTTGCCTGCCCATCCGCCCTCTGGCATTGCCAGGTCATAAATATGAAACTATCGTATTGGAAGCTAAAAATGAGGGTATTTTCTGAAAAGCTACTGCACACTGAAAAAAGTCTGTAAAGAACGACGCTCTAAGTGCCCAGCGGGGGAGTGAGGTCATCAAAGCTGAAGCATTTCTTTATTTTAAACCACAAGGAAGTAGGGTGGCCATCACTGGCGACGTGTAGGGGGTGCACACGGGTGCACATGCACCCCCTGAGATTGGCCGGGCACCCCTTGGAAACGCCAGCCGCGACACTGGAAGTGCCAGCAGCAGTGCACTTCTGGTTTCCTGCGGGTGATTCTGGGCTCAGCGATGGACTGCTGAGGGACCCCCCCGTTGGTGAAGTGGTGCTCCCCCGGACTCGGGCAGTGGCCGTCACAGAGGACATGCCGGTTTTCTGCTACTCTGCCCTCTGTTGATACGCAACCCGACGCCTTTATGCCATCTAGTTTTCCCTTCGATAGAAAACTAGAGGACATAAAGGCGCGGGGTTTCGTATCGACAGAGGACGACCGGCCTGTCCTCCGCGATGGCCACCTACCAGAAAGTGCTGCCGGCACGCCCAAAGGCCACTCCCTGGGTTTGACCGCCGCTGCCTCCATGAACTGCCTCAAGAAGCATCTTACATTTCGCGCACCTGTTGTAGCCGGGCCGGGCTTCTCCTACCAGCACAGGAGCTCTAGTACACCCGCCCCCGCGGCCCCGCGCCGGGCGCCCCTCGGCTGGGCCGGCCGGATACGAGCTCCCCCGCGGTGGGGGCGGGGTACAGGCAGCCCCAGGTTTCATCACCGGGGAATGCCCGCCGCCCCGCCCCGCCGGCTCCTATAAGAGGCCCGGCCGGCGCTGTAGTGGACACAAGTTCCCAGAGCCCAGGTCCCCCGCACCAGCGCCCGCTCACCCGCCATGGACACCTGCCGGCCGAGGCTCCTGCTGCTCCTGGGTAAGCGCCAAGCCGCGCCTCTGGGACACGGGGGGGAGCGAGCGCGGCGGCCGCCGGCGGCTCCCCTGGGGCTGCGGCATCGCCCTGCCCTTCGGAGCCGCCGCCTCTAGCTCTTCCCCCGGGGAATAAATCTCCGGTGAGGGACAGGCGTGCTCCCTGCCTCGTAACAACCAGCTCACGGGCTTCATCCAACACGAGGCTCCCCCAGCTCGGGGGGCACTCTCTGTAAGAGGTTCCCGGCAGGTGACCTGAGTCTGGCAGAGTCCTGGGAGCCCCAAGTGCACATCCCGCTGCGCTATGTGTAGTCCCCAGGCAGGGCCGGGTTAACATGGCTAGGGCCCTAAGCGCAGAAGGGGTGCTGGGGTGCTTATTTTACCTGAGTGACGGGGGCCGCCTGAATCTGGAGGGGCACCGGCTGAGGGTGGCAGCCCTGTCAGCGAGGGGCACCAGCCCTCCTGACAGCTTCAGTGTCGGCTGTCAGACCCCCTACCAGTCGCTTATGTTATTTTACATTATAATAACTTAAGTATCCAGTATTCATTTGGGGCCCATGAGTTTGTTTGCCTAGGGCTCACTAAAGGGTTAATGTGGCCCTGTCCCCAGGGACCAAGCAGACATTGATGTGGCAGTAAGAGCTTCTTGCATGGCTCCTTCACTGGGCAGTGGTAACAATGGGAAACTGGTGCTGTGAACAGCCTCCGGAGGAAGGTGAGTTTCTCTTCCTACGAGATTGGGCCCAGTTCCCTCGGATACACAGGCAGGACTGCATTTCAGCTTGAATCCAAAGTGTGTGATTATAATTCACTGGTTTGATTTGCAATGCCAAAGCGCACTTTGTCTGCCGTGGGGTCTTTAAAAAGCCCTGGAATAATACAAGGATTTTATTATGTCCACATGCTTAGTGCTTGGGACCTTCCGTGCCAAATAAACCTTAACTGCAGTGCTTAATTACAGTACAGTCAGTGGTGTCATCACCTCCCGAGCCCATTTCAGCACTAACTCACTGGGTTGTTTTCCTGTCCACTCAGGTATTTCCATACTGTTGTAAATTCCAGTCACAGTATAAAAACCTGAAGTGCCAACAGCCTGGAAAAAAAAAGAAAGCTATGACCTTTGGAGTCTCTTGAGGAACTGTCCTTATAGTACACGGGTGACTTTGAAACGCGTTGGTGCAGCTGCCTATAAACCTATTGTAGATGCACTCTTTGGGAAGGTGGGAAACATGCCTAAGATCTATTAACTAAGGGTTAGATTCTGTTCCCGTTCCCTTGTGCTAGAAAGAAGGTGTATGTTGGTGGAGGTACAGGTAAGGCGCTTTTGCCTTTGTTTGGTTTAACCAGTTCTGATCACAGTGTAGAAGTGGCAAAGGAATTTTTCTGGATAATTTGGAGCACAAATATAAGGGGACAAGTTGTGTTACAGAAGTTAGGCTTGGGGGAAGAGTCTTGAGCTGCCCGGGGACAGCTAAATAAAGGGCCTATTTCTAGCTGCAGTTTGCCAGTGAGTTAAATTTTATTGCAAGATCTGCACTAGGTCTGATCCAGGGCCAGCCAGAGGAGTTGCTTCACAGCAGAAGTGTATTGCCAGTTCCCCTTTTACTGTAGGACCCTGGGACTAATGCAGTTCAAATAGGGGTGTGTTCCAATTCAGCAAAGCCCACAGCCAGTGTAGTCTCAGAGTAGCTGGGAAGCCTCCAGAGAAAGTAGACATGATTCACTGTGATCTCTGGTACAGACACTTCACAAAGAAGAGCAGACCATGTTCCCAGAGCCTGCCTTTGAGGGGACAAGTATTCCCTGTAGCTTAAGCTCTCTAGCCTGGTACAGGGAGAGGTAAAGGATGCCACCCTCTATCAGATTTCTGGACAAATGGGGTTTTTATTTTTGTCCAGAAAGGACACGGAACTAGAAGGTCTTGACAACACAGTGGATGGGTCTATCCTTGAGCTTTCACTAACAGAGATGGCGTAATGCTAATACAATGTCAGGAAGCTTGTCAGAATGGCAACTGCCCCTCTTCACCATCGGGGCATGCAGGAATATTCATGTGGAGCATCCAGTGAAATGTAGGTGGAATAACTGATGCACAGTAGGCCTCCTTCTAGAGGATGCAGTAATGAGATGAATGACTTGTATCCCCTCTGCGAGCATCTACTTGCATAAGCTTGGGAACACATCCCCCAGGAAGTGACACTTAGAGTTGAGGTCGGTTTGTAACAACTTAAAAATATGTTCATAGTTTGTGATAAAGAGTGAGGTTTTCTAAACTTCCCAGGATCACAAACCTCAATGAGCAGGTGCCTAAACAAAGGTATTATGTGATGTCAGCTGAAATAACTAAACACAGTTAGGAAAATCTTCTGGGTTCTGTTAAAAATAAACAAATCTTTTAGATTAACTTTTACAAAAGGAGTTAGGAGCCTATTCTATGTATAGTAGAGCATGGTACCTGGAATCTAACTATGATGAATATGCAGTTTTTAGTCTTCAGTCACAGCAATGCTAAGATCTAGGAATAGGTGTGGCAGACAACAGAAGGTGATAGCTCTTATTTGGGCACTGGTTCTGTATCTTGGCAAACAATACCATGAAAACTTTTCTACTGCTTTTATGTTGAAATCCAAATCTGCACTGAACTACTTTTTTTTTCTAGCTAAAAATAATGTAGTGAGGTTTTTTTTTTCTTTCTGCTTAATGTTGAAAGATCTCTATTGCCTTATGTCTCTTGGCTCTACCAGCAAGATGCAAAGCTGCTCACTGATAACTTCATCCCTATTAAAGTAAATTTCCACAGTACTCAGAGATGTGCTGTGTGATTACAACACTACCCATAATCTGATGGTCAGTAAGGCAAATTTAGGTGCACTGAAATAAAATATTAGCATTCTCTCCACTGCCCACCTAGGGCCAAATGTAAGGGCATGTGAATGGCAATTAGCACACTGTAGTATAAACTGTTTCTGTGGGGAAGAAGTCAGTGTTCAAAATGTTGACATGATCAACTACAGGGTTACTTTTGTTACCGCAGGTGCATACATAAATACTAGACTTACACATGAACTTCTGGAACCTGCTCACAGCATTAATGTGCTTCTCTTTAATACCGTGGCACCAAGGTATGCTATATGGGGATGTTTAATGTGCTAACCCCGATCAGCAGTCTTCCTCCATGCTGAATTATGATGATCTTTCTTTACATTGAAAGAAAACTCTGCCAAGCTGAAACTAACCAAATTGCCTCTAAGAAACTACTTTGCTAAACAAAAGGTCACTCTATATTTTCAGTTCAGTAAGGGCTTTTTCTGTGTGGTTTCTTTTTTTTTTAATTTTTGTTTGTTTTTTTCCTTGCCCTGTCTAGAAATGTAAAAGTTCCTTAAAGTTGAAAGGGGGTTAATTACATAAATGCTAGTTGCGATTGTACACTGTCCTTGTATTACAGATACTAAGGAAATTCACTGGCATTCAGTCCTTTGTCCAAGATTCTCTTTTTTTTTCTCCCTGTTGTTGTTCAACTGACCCTTTACAGCATTAACATTCCAGTAAGGCAGGCTCCACTCTGACAATGTTAACCTTCCTGTAAAGCAGGTACCAGTGTTGCATTAATATTCAGCAATGAAGCAATACATATACTATGAACATTCCAGTGAGGCAATAACATCCACCATCTCATTACTCTACAAGGTACAAGATAACAGTATTTGCTTAATGATCAGGGTATTTATATTAATGCAAACATAACCCCACCTTTCCCAGATCTTGCACTCGGTGCACACACAAACACAATAGCAATGAGAGGTGCATATGTATGGTGAGATTATGACACCAATATGTTACAGAAAAGGCTCATCCAGTCAATTCAAATTCCTTATTCACATTCTGGATCTCCTTTTCATACGTAATTCAAATCACCTGGAAACTACATACATGCAGGAAAGTGCAGAATAAGCAGCAAAGATCCATGGTGCAGACCAGGGAGGGAAACTTTCTTCTAATGGCAGAAGATACTGTGGGGTATATAAAGTCAATCCAAGAGCAAATGCGGCAGGCTGTAGATTTATTTTTTTTATCTTTTCCACATGTCTGCAGTCAACTAAAGAAGCATATCTGTTATGTTGCAGGGTAGAATGTGTCAAATCTTGGTCTTTGCTCCAAATGAGGTGACTTTACTTTGTCTCTGTCTATATATTTGCACATTTCATTAATCTCTGTACTAGGTGATAGGCTAGTTGGAATGGGTATATTGTTGGGATACTTAGTACATTACTCAGGACTACAGAAATTAGCAGCTTGCTCTTTAAATTTCTCAAATGCATGCACAGGCTAGATTCTACTTTCACTTCCTCTAGTGTAAATGTAGTGTCAGTCTGGTGTAAAGGGGACCAAAATAATACCTATTCATTTTCCTGGCTCTTCACAGACTGCATCCTATTAATCCACACTTCAAAAAGGTCTTGGTCTATTCCTTCTTTAGAGACATCCAAAAACAGAATCTGTAGAACAGGTGACACTGTTCTCATTAATTTGCAGAACTGACAGGCATGCAAGCAAGAAGAAAATTGGGCCCTGTAGAAAGGGAGGGTATCTTTGAAGTTACTGGGCTCAACATTACCACGTTACCATAGTCTTAGCAGAATTTCCCCCAAAAGGTCACTACTGACTTTGGGGGAAGTGAAGTTAATCCAACACTGAGCACTTCTGAAGGTTCCATCCAATAAGGAAGCCAAAAGTTAACACAAGTTTTCTGTGAACAGGCACTGCCATACACTTATCCAACCAGATGTTAATATTAAGAATTAACCTCTTGTCCCAAGTAAAACTCCCAGGAAAGGGGGTGAGATTCACATAACTTTATTGTAATAAATGTGGCTAGCCTGACTGACAACTGATGACCTGGGGCTTGTTAGCTTATTTGTTTTTAATGGAAATAGATTTGACATTTAGAAATTGGCTTTCCGAAAGTGTTCCACATAAGCCTGATTTGGCTTTGCTTAGATGCATGGTCCTTTCGCTGAAGTCAACGCCGCCCTTCAGCACTTTGAAAAATCTCTTCCTAAGAGTAAATTCACTCAAGTTCCTTTGAGTCATACTGCAATGAAAAGTTGAACAACAATGGCAAGATTGGACTGCCACTGACTTGCACTTTTTATGTGATTCTTAAAAAAAAGGGGGGGGGCATTGTTTTAGTGTTTTTTCCCTCCCCCTCCTCCAGCCATCATGATCGTCACAATTTTTTTCCTTAGAAAATAGTAATCTTTCATCTTTATCCACTTACACTAGCTATACATGATAAAGATGTGAAGTGAATAACCAATCTGTTTTCTTGTTTTTTAATTAAAATGTTAGGTCTTAAAATAGGAAAAACTTACCAAGAGCTCTGGCTTTAATATGAGCCTTAGATTAATAATCAGCTCTGTCCTTCATATATTTTGGCTGGATTTTTTTTGTTTTTTAACAGACATGCATTCAAAAAACACCAAATTTCAGGAAGTCTACAATTTAATTTAGATCTGACGTTGCTGAAAAGTAGCAAATGTCTCTAATAACTGAAGCTTGAATTAAAAGGATGGTCCAAAAAATTCTGAAGGCACATTTCCTTCATTGAGCTTCATGACCAAACATGTCTACAAGTGCTAACAGCCAAAAGGCAAAGGACAGAATTATGGACTTTGGGAAAGGGTTGATATTTAAACTGTTCATGAGCTGGTGAGCTTATGACAACAGCAAAAGAGGTAGCCTGCAGGATTCCGTGACTAGTTGGGGCAAAGCCTGATTCATCATGAGATGGCAGTTCTACTTTTAATATCTGCAAGGATTAAGTTTAAAATCCTGTGCTGAGATGCAGAATGCCTAAAAGCTGTATGTGTGCAGTACCTGGTAATAGTGTCAAAGTGCTTTTAAAACCCTGTATTTAGGGCACTTGTATAGGCTTACTTCTGGTTGTCTGTGATGGGTTTTTTCTCATTTTTAGGCGAAAATGTTTGACAAACATGTCGACCAAAATGTTTAAGATGCTATAAATGTACTGACAACAATTAGATTTAGGCCTGTGCTTAAAAACTAAGTACGATATAGTCCAGACCCAGTTAGTGAGGTGAGCCTAGGCTAAATCATGCTCCCCTCTTTCCGATAATTCCAGTTATACAAAGCATGTAAACACAAACAATATGGTACAGAATAACACTTATTTAAGTGCTTAAACATGATCCAGTGCTTTGCTGAAGTGAGGCTGTAGACTTTGAAAAGGGATGGGTTTTATGCTTTGATTTTGTTATTCCTTTAGCCTACTCTTGATTCTCTGTAATCTGGAGATATACCTGTTTTAAAACATGACACTTATTTAAAGTCCAGAAATAGAATCAATCATAGAATCAATGAGTCAGAAGGGACCTAGGCAGATCATCTAGTCCGACCCCCTGCCATGGGCAGGAAGGAGCACTGGGGGTGGGAGGTGTCATAAGACCCCAGCCAGGTGCTTATCCAGTCTCCTCTATAGGTTTTCTTGAATTATCTCAAGATTTGTCACCTCCATACCTTCACTGGAAGAACTATTAACTTCCCCACTCCCCCACCCTCAACATTGTTTGTTCTACTTTGGAACATCACTGATAGGAATCTGTCACTATTTTTTGTCTTATAGGTTACCTCTTGCAAGTTGTCATTGGAACAACAGTGATCCCATCATGTGGACCAAGTGACGTGGACAACTGTACCACAGCACTAAGTAAGTATATGGTATCTTAACACTGCCGCTTCAAAAATATGGGCTTTTCTGTTGCAAAAATCTTGATCTCATGATGATTCCCATTCTCAATGGGAGTTGCAAGATGCTTAGCTTTTTGTCTGAGTCCTTCACTTGGGAAATTTCTGAAAATGTCTCATACTTTCTCAGACAAAATAAGCTAATTTTAGGGCCTGAATGCTGTAGAGCATTAGGGTGTGGGGGATCAAGCATCTTCTCTATACTACCTTTATTAAACTGGAAATGGTACTAAATAGTTATTCCACATGAAGTAATTTTACTATGCTGCAATATGCATTGAAGTAGGTTCTATTCAGAACTCCCCATGAGGAAACAGAAAGGGTACATTTTTAGTATGGCAATTTCCAAGCAGCCTAAATGTTTCGAAGCCTAGAAATTCAAGGGAATTGGCTTTACTCTAACAAAAAACTAAAGGTTCATTTTTGCAAACTTATTCCTCAGCACTATTCAGAGTTCAAGTAGATCACTGAAAGTGAAAGATTGTGAGTGGAAGAAAGACTAACAAACCAGTAACTGATTCTACTTACAGTTCAGACGGAGCATAGTCCACGGGTGGCTCAAGTGGCAATAACCCAATGCAAAGCTGAAATGAAAGACTACTGTTTCCATGGACAGTGCATGTACCTCGTGGACTTGAATGAACACTACTGCAGGTGAGAGGAAAGTCATGTAGTATAATTTTGCATTTCTTCCTGAGGTCAAATGTACAAGTGTGATCACATGCATGAACAGGCTTTGATCTTACCTTTCACCTGCTTTTAGAATCTATGGTGCCAAAATGATTTTGGCATCAGTTTTTTAAAGCCTTCATGCAGAGGCAGCAGATTCCTGCTACCAAGAGTGGTAGATCTGCAAAGAGGATCTGATTCTACAAGCCTTTCCTGCCATGATGGCTCACTGTAGTGTAAGCCAGGCCTGAAGTTTTTCTGCCAGCCTAGCTATATTGGTGAGAAGTACAAAAAAATCATTATCCCTCTAGCCAAGGTAAATCTGGATGTTGTCTATGAGGGCTTCTGTAAGTAGACCACCTGTCTCGGAGGTGTTATAGTTAAACTGGATGAAGCCCTTTGTGTCCTCATATGCTGGATCTTTGAAAGACATTGATCATATTCCCACAGAATCTGCTACAGGGGGTTTATTTTAGAAATATGTTTGGTTCTAGTGATCAGAAATGGCAATGATCTAGGCTACCTGGTCTATCTTTGCTACTGCATGATTGTTCTTTATGATTGTTCCTTTTCTGGCACTTCCCTGTCATGGCAGATGCTTTTAATATTCACCTGTGTTTTGTAACAGCATAATTAATGTGTCAACAATAACCCCAGATATCTTTATCTTTTCAGATGTGATTTGGGCTACTCTGGGGTCCGCTGTGTGCATTCGGAGCTAGTCACACAGCCTTTGAGCACAGAATATGTGGCACTGACAGTTACTGTAATCCTGTTTGTACTCATTGCTATCTCAGTTGCAAGTTACTACTTCTACAGATGGTAAGGCACATTCTCATTTTCTATTGTATGCACTTGAACTATGACTTGCCTTCTCTAAGCAAGGAGAGAAGCTTTCATATTAATGGCTGAAGAGTTCATTCAGAAGTTAGATCAAAATGGTTATTTTTGGCTTGCTCACCTGCTTATTAGCCTGCACTTATCTAATGATCTTAAAAATTGTGGTTTAATTAAATTTGATGTGGCTACATAGTTGCAAATACAAAAGTAGCACAAACGTTTATCAGACCTTCTAGCATAAAGAGTAACAATAGTCAGGCCAGTATAATAGTAGTTTTGAGGCATGTCTGCTTACCCAGAAGCGGAGAAATGCTAAAATGGAAACCATTGAAAGTCAGTTACAGAATCCTGTAGGTTTCTGCTCTGGTACATGAAGGGGAGCTGCTGGAGGAAATTAAGGGCCTGAAGATGATATTGCACATACTGCATGTCCCACCACTTGGATATCATTTGTCACAATAAAGTTACCTTGGCTTATACCCATGGCTTGGGGCTGGGAGGGGGAAGAAAAGATGAAGCTCTGCATAATGCATCCTAAAATTATATTAGTGTTAAACACTGTCCTTGTTGACTGTAAAGCATAGCCCTGTCCACAAGGCAGGGAGAAAGTGCCTTTGCACTCTTGCTTATGAGATGATGATACTAGCTGGCTGATTTTTATTCTTCTAAAAGCCAGCTTGCTGCCTGTAGCTAATGAAGTGGAGTAACTTGTTTGAAATACATCCTCTTACCATCTAGACAAGGACCATACCCTGGAAGAAGCATAGGGTTACTGAAGTAGCAGTTCTATACAACTACCACTAAGGGCATTGGAGCCAATCTCTGTTACTTACCCCTTCACCGGATCTTGCCATGTGAGGAAGAAACCACATAAGCGTCCACTGTACATCTTGCTTAATTTTAAAGAAACTAAATGGAGCAAAACATAAACACAAATATTTTAAATGAAAGAAACTTGGATAATATCAAAGCAGAGGATGTTTTCAGTGTCTAATGCTAGTTGTCCAGGGGCTGCTTGCAGATGGCTAGCACTCTATGGAGTTTCGAAATAGCATCTCCTGAAATGGGGAGCTTTGCCCCACCTCTTTTCAGATGAAGCTTCCATTATGTTTGTATGTGCTAGGACTGCTGTATAGTATTTTATTTTTGGAACAGTTCTGCATTGGTGTGTTTTGTACCTTCTCCTCCCTCTCTAGAGAGCTCTAACTCCTCTTTCTCTCTAAACACATTCAGGTACCAAAACAAGCAGAGACAAGTCAACCTTGCATTCTCCATGGAAGCTGATACACAGGAGAAGAAGTCAAAGCTGCTTCACGTATGAATGAAGAAATGGAAACACACAGACCAGCTACTTATTAATTTGTCTCTATTTAATATGAAAAATGTTATTTTTATTAATAATATTTATATGCTGAACAAACCAGTTTCAAATGTTTATTAATTTTAATTGATAATACAGGTCAAATGGATTTTTGTATGAATGTTTTTATTTTATTTTTTTTATTTTATTGAATACTTGATACTGTGGAAAAAGAGATCCTACACTTGTGCATCTGTGGGATATATCTACATATATAGATAGAGAGAGAGAGAGAGAGAGAGATATAAATAACTATATTTTTGTAAGAAGCTTTTAATCTTGTTGCCGGTACTTTGTCTTGAAGAAATGCATGTTTATTAATTTTCTTCACATGAACAAATAAAGTTGTGTTACTTTTTACAAAGACCTGCCTCAGTCAAGATGTTAATACTGTGACCCCCCTTTTTTTTTTCCTTTACTGAAAAGTGAATGACATGCAGTCTGTGTGGTTCATATGCAGACATATTTAAAATCTGACATAAACGTATGGAAAATAGCTGGCCTTTAAAAAAACTCCAACCCTTATTCTCAGAGAGGCTTTGATTTACAGTCTTGAGGGTGTGGTAGAATTCTCATGTTTGCATTGTATCCTGATATAAGTATTCAGGATCGCATGAGGCAAAAAATACAAAGAGGAAAATATTGTGAACTTTTGTGATATCTCTTATTATGATATTTCAGGCACAATCTTGAGTCCAGGTTCTTACCCTGGAAGGGGAGTAAGGATTTACAATAGGCTGCCTCACTTCCTTTTGCAGGCTCCTTGTATCATAGCCTACATGGATGCATTCACACATGCACTTGCAGCTGCACAAATTTGGTGCTGGATATTTGTGTCTTGGTACATGTGCCTAACCATACACATTGGTTTGGAGCAAGTTGTATCACTTGGGGCAAACTGACCCTGCCCACCTCCTCCCTGATCTGCAGCCAGGGGGAGCTGAAGGCTGGGGCCAGCACCTGTGTTGGCCCCTGCACAATAAATCATAGAGGTGCACTGACACATCGGTTCGATATCAGATTGGCACTGATATAAAGAAAATTGTATTGGAAATCGGTGAGGAGCACAGGGTGGAGAGCTGCATCCAGCTGGTAAGTCTGTGGGGGAAGGAGAGGGGGGTAGATCAAGGCCCCACAGTGAGGGAAGGAGTGGAGCTGGGGCAGGGGCTGTGACAGGCACTGCCCAGCTGGGGCGGGGCAAGGGATGGAGCCACAGCTCATCGAGGAGTGTGTGGGGAACAGATTCCACTGCTGCATGCACCCTGGGAGGGTAAGTGAAAGAGCACATGCCCCTGGATCTGCACAGGGCAGGGCAACTGCAACTGTGGGCTAGGGCTGGGACTGCACCAGGCTCTTCCCAGCAGGGGCTGGGCCAGGCTGCAGTGCTGGGAGGAGGGGTTGGGGTTGCTACAGCAAACTTCGAGGTGACTACAGCTCCCACCCCCTATAGCCCCACTCCCAGTGCTACCACTGCCCACCCAAGCACAGCTTGGATCAGCCCCCACCGGGAAGAGCCCAGTACCACCCCAGCCCATACCTGCAGCACACCCAGAGCAGATCCAGGGGGCCCATGCCCCACCCGCTGTGCCCTCCTGGGGTGTGTGCAGCAGCGTGAGCCACACCCCCATGCCTCCAAGATGAGCCACAGCTGTGCCCTGTGCCCTGGGCAGTGCCTGCCCCAGCCCCACTTCCTCCCTCATCACAGGGGCCTCAATCTGCCCTCCCTCACAACAGACTTACCAGCTTCATGCAGCTCTTCAAGCTGCTGGGCTGCGTATCAGAAATTGGATCAGTATCAGCCAATATGTCTCCTTAAAAAATCAGCTATCAGTAACAACGCCAAAAGTTGTTTTGGTGAGCAGTTGTTTTGGTGAGGGCTACCTGCCCTCACGAGCTTCTCAGGCCTGGCCAGTTGGTACATGGGGACCCTAAGCCCCTGTGGTACCTGGGCTGCTGCTGCAGCAGCCCTGACCTAGCTTGGCCCCTGCACCCTCTACCTACTGCAGCAGGGGATGCTGTCTGGCTGTGATCTGCTGCCACCTGTGACAGTATCCACCTCTTTAGGCATCTCTTCAGCATAGGCACTGCAGCAGAGCTGTCTGCACCTCTGAGCCAGCTCTTCAGGCTGCACAGTTGGTCTTTGGGCAGCCTTGCTGCCATGTGTGCCTCCACCCTGCCATCTGGGCAGCTATCACCTGGAAGATGTGCTCAGTGTGGTGGCCTGCTTTGAACTATCAAAGTGTGTCCTCCTGGCCCCAAATGGGTCTTAAACTGCTTTGAGATCCCAGCATCGCAGTGTTCACAAGCTGTGCCTCCAACCTCAATGTATGTAGAAAAACCTTTTAAAGCTGTATCTGTGTCCGAATGGCTGATTCTCCAAATCAGCATCAAAGCTTCAGTTTCGGATTCAGCTGAATTGAATCAGGGATAGTGATCCAAATGAATCAAATGAATGGAATTGCTGTCCATTATTCAGGCCAAATCAGGCCCACTTCGCACACCCCTAATAGTAGGCACGTCTACACATTAATTAATGCACAGCATTTAGTTTAGTACTTCCTTAATGTAGTTCTAACTGAATGCACAGTAACTACTTTTACTGCACAGTAGCACTGGTGCATGATTTTTTTGTGTGGTTTACTGCACAGTGACTTAATAACATGGTGTAGTAGCCTATTAACAATTTTTTTGATCGGCAGTCTACTTCACAGTGTTATTAGGCTACTATGCAGTATGCATCTTTTGTAGACACACTGGGCATGTCTACACGTTCATTAATGTGCCATAATGACAGTGCATTGAGCTTAGTACCTGTAATAACAGGTACTAAATGCACTAATCAGCACTACTGTGCATTAGGGCTGTGCGAAGCTTCGGTAGCCAATTTGATTTGGAGGAGATTTGGCCCGATTTGGTGGCCAAATCTCTGAATACAAACAGAATCAGGAGACCTGTTAAAAGGTCCTAATCAATTTGGAAGCCTCCGAATTGATTCAGAAAAGAATTGGAAAAATTCAGAGATTCGGAAGGCAAACTTACACGAAACATAAACTGAGAAGAGGGAGGGGGAAAAGGCAGGAGAAGACAGCTCTGATATTAACATCTGTAGCTGGCCAGTGACTGTGATCTTTCCCTGAGTTCCCTACCAATCACAGTGCTCTGGGGGAGGAATGTAGAAACAGCATATAAGGCTGTGTGTGAAGCGATCTGTGCCTTTTGCGAGCTGTCTCTCTCTTGGACCAGCAGTGTCTGAAAGGCTCTGGCTTGCTATCTAGTCTCTTGGTAGCTAGGCTCTTTTCTTCTGTGTTTTCCCTGACAGTGTGACATCACTGTTCAGGAAAGCACAACATATATTACAGATACATACGCATTTTGCAGCACACCAATATTATGAAGCGTGCTGAAAAGGAAGGTACCAGGTGTTCAGGCAGGGGAAGGAGAGGGGGCAGAGGGAGTGCTGCAAGTTCCCCCCTCTTTCCTGGCAGTGATGAGTCTTCTGCTGCTAGTGGGAACAAGGAGGTGGGAGCAGTGTCTGTACCTGTGCCACCTCCACTAACACCAATAATAACCACCAGCACCCGCATGATAGTCCCAACCCCAATTTCAGTTCCCAACATGAGCCTTCCAGTGCTAGAGGAGGAGCTGGATCTGGAAGTAGAGGAGCTGTGTGTCATAGCTAAAGAAATTCTGGGGAAGGAGAGGGAATCTGAGTTTGTGCTCCACACCCCTCAAAGTTCCCCTAAGGCAGATCTCTTCTGGAAGGCACTTCCGAGGAGGCTGTGGAGGCAAGTGGCTCAGCTCCTCCTGTTGTTGTGCCTCTGCCTGGTGAGCAAAGGGATAAGGCAGTAATCCCACCATCAACCCGGAAGTGGGTGAGTAGTGCATTTTGAGGTGTCAGATGATCGCAGGTATGCTACCTGCCAGCACTGCCGAAAGCACATCAATCAGCTGGGGCAAGGAGGGGAAACACTTCACCACCATGGCGATGTTGCTACATCTCAGAAGGCAGCACCCCCTTGCCCTTGTTCCTTCTTAGCCTGGCACCAGTGAGAGCATGCCCAAAGGGAAGTCTCCCTCTTGCTCCAAAGCTCCCGTCTCCAAGAAGCAGAGGCAGGCCACCCTGGACCAGTGGGGGAAATGCGGAGACAAAGGAGGGCATGTTCCCAAGGTGAGTGAAGTCACCCAGAGCATGGTCTTGCTCTGGATGGCCAGCCATTCTCTTTTGTTGAGCATCCAGAGTTCAGGCAGCTCATGCCACTCATTGCCTCATCCTACCAAGTGCCTGCATGCACCACCTTTAGCAGGACAGTGATGCCATCCCTGTATGAGGCATGCAGGGAGTACTTCAGGAAGGAGCTGCGGAAGGCAGGTCCACAGGTAGCTTTGCACTTCACCTCAGACATCTGGAGCAGCTGGGGTGGAAATCATGCCTACCTCTCCTTCACAGGGCACTGGTGCGATCAGTCAGAGCATCGGTGGGCTCTCCTTCAAGCAGAGGTTATGGATGAGTCCCACACAGCAAGAGAGATCATGGTGGTCATGAACTGCATGGTGCAGGGGTGGCTAATTGGGCAGGGTGAGCTCACCCACGGGTTCATGGTCATGGAAGTGCATGATGCAACTTTGTTGGCATCCACTGTGTGGCACACAAGTTCCATCACATAGTGAGGGATGCCTTGGAGGGGTACAGGACTCCTGGTGATGGCACCACCAGCCAGCCCATTTAAAAATGCAGGAAGGTGATGGGCTACTTCCATCAGAGCATCAAGGGGGGCAAGATGCTGTGGGACAAACAGGCAGAGCTGAGCATCCCGCAGCATAAAATCATGCAGGATGTGGAGACTCAGTGGAATGGCACATACCTGATGCTGGAAAGGCTGGTGGAGAACCAGAATGCCATCCATGAGATGGCCTTGTTCAGGGTGCACCTGCCTGGTCTCATATAGGTGCTCTCTAGAGACCTTAGAGCACATACCCAGTTCTGACTGCGGGGTGTGTCCCCAGGACCTGTGCACTGGGTTGCATTCACCCCCAAGGAAGGCCCTGACACTTTCCTGCCATGACTTGATCTTTTCTTCAGTGGTGGGGCTCCTCCTCGTGGATTCTTGCAGACCAGATGCTGCCCTTAGCAGGCGTTCTTGGGGCGACACCTCCCCTACACCCCAGCCATGCACCAGCCCTCAGGACAGCTGAATGATAGATCTCCGGCCTGTCCCTTTGATGTTCTCGCCTGCTCTCTTCTCTCCTAGCCTGTCCCTCAGCGCTCCTTTACCTTGGATGACTGTGGGGCATGGGAACCATCCTCATCACTGTGTCCTCTCTCCCTCTGAGGCATAGCAGTCCACTACACTGCTTCGGCTCTCCCTCTTGACCCGGGGTCACTTGGAGACTCTTTCCCCAGTCCAGGCTCTGTGCGCCTTCCAAAATAACAGATAAAAGAAAAGAGAAGAAAGAAATAGTCAGGGTATGGGGCCTCAGCCCACCCCACTCATAGATCTGGTGTCTGTGCTCCTCATGATCCTTCAACACCATCCTCCTTGGCCTGGCTGCCCTGCCGAGCAGGGTGGATACTTCTTTTAATGGAGCCAGGACCCCTCCTGTGGGTCCCCATCTGGCCCCCTGCCGAGCTGCCACCACTGCCAATGTGCA